GGAAGAAATGATGGAGAAGGGCGGCAGGGCAGGCAGCTCCTGGGGGGCATGGACAAGAGTTTGGGGCATAGGGGCTTCCTCTCCTTGAAGGGAATAGAGACGTGGAGACCCAGCTCTCTTCTAGGGATCCTGTGTGCAGGTGAGAGGCACTCGGCAGCCATCCCCAGCCGCGGAGGGGTGAGGGGGGCTGTCCAGGGGGAGGCATGGGGAGTAGTCGTGCTGAGGATGAAGAGGGACTGTCCAGTGATGCTGCCCCGGGTCAGCCCTGCCATGTCTTCCAGAGCACGCTGGGGAGCATGGTCAGCATTTACAGCGAGGCCGGTGACTTTGGCAACGTCGCGGTCACCGGGGGAATCTCCTTCTCCCTGAGCTACGAGCAGAAGACGCAGACCTTGTTCATTCACGTGAAGGAGTGTCGCCAGCTGGCCTACGGGGATGAGGGCAAGAAGCGCTCCAACCCGTGAGAGCTGGGGGGGCGATGGCTGGTGGCACCGCTGGTGGTGCTCAGCTGGGTTGTGGGGTGCCCGCCAGATTTGGGGGGTGTAAGGGGGGGGTCTTGGTGAGGCAGGAGGTCTGGGGTTGCCCCGGGGGTCTAGCTGTGGGGAGACTTGGTGAAGTGCTGCCTGCTCCTCCCTCCAGGTACGTGAAGACCTACCTCCTGCCCGACAAATCCAGGCAAGGGAAACGCAAGACGACCATCAAACGCAACACCATCAACCCCCTGTACAATGAGCTGCTGAAGGTGAGTGGGGAAGAGCTGGGGTGCAGGGCACCCAGCTCTGGGGAGGGATGGGCTCCAAACCCTGAGGCAGGGGCTCTGCAGAGGACCTGTGTCCAGACACTGCACCCTGGAAGCTGGAAAAACCCGCTCCCAGGCTGGGTCGCTGCTGTGATGTGGCTGTGGTGTCAAGCCCTGGGTGCCATGGCGGGGTGGAGGCACAGCTGCAGATGTGAATGTGTCACAGGCCGTGTTCCTGGCTCCTGTGGCATCCCCCAGAGCTGGGGCCTTCTGCTCACCCTGGACATAGCTTTCCGTGGAGAAGGCTCCTGGGCCATTGCAGGCGGGCAGCGTGGCTGCAGAGGCAAAGATAAGGCTGTTCTGGGCCCCAGGGCAGAAGCTCTTGGCACTGCCCTTCACGGTCCCCGCTGTGACCACCATGGGGCGGTGGGAAGGGCTGGAAGCAGCGTGTTGCTGAGGCCAGGCGCTTTCTGGACAGGAGGGAAGTGGGAACTGTGGTTTGGTTTCCAGGCTCCCACAGCCCTGGGTTTGCCAAGGTGTCGCGCGCCAACCACCTGAGGCTCGGTGGGCTGGCAGAGCCTCGCTTGTGGTGGGACGGGGTGGGGTGGCCAGATGCCATGAGTCCTGGTCCTGCCTCTGCACAGGCTCTGAGGACCACTTGCCTGGAGAGCTCGGGTTCGTGCACCACTGCCCCAGGACTGTGAGGTTTCAGCAGGCTTGGAAAGGAAGAGTCCTGCATGCATCCGTTGCTCCTCAAAGCTCTCTCATCTTCTGCTCGAGACCTGTGGCTGATGGCGTATGCGAAGTCTGTCCCCTTCCAGCTGCTGCTGGCTCACCGCTCATTTTCCTGTCTCTCTTCCTAGTATGAGATTAACAAGTCCCTCCTGCCTGCGAGGACACTGCAGTTCTCAGTCTGGCACCACGATCGCTTTGGCCGAAACACGTTCCTGGGGGAGGTGGAGGTCCCGCTGGACGCCTGGAACTTTGAGAGCCACCTGGAGGAGTTTCTGCCCCTGCACGGCAAGGTGCTGGCCCTGCCACCCAGCCCTGCTGCCGCAGCCTCCCTTGCCTGGCCCTGTCCGGTGGGGTGCCCCGGGGTGGGCAGAGGGGTGCAGAGACCTCAGCCAAGAGCTGCCAAAAGGCTTGTGCTAAATCAAATCTTGGAGAAATGAGGAGCCCAGAGCAGATAGCAGTACTGTTGTGGTAAAAAAGGGCAGATCTTCTGCCTTGAGCCTAACTTTACCTCCTCCTCCTCGGTGAATCCCCCACGGGATGCTGCGGGATGTGTTTCTGCCCTTTCACATATTTTCATTCTGCTTGCTCGATTGCTCCAAGAGCACAGCTCTTCCCAGCTCCCTGCCCTGGCTGGGAGGAACTGGACACAACTTCAGGGAAGCAAAAGGGGGAAATTGGACGGGACGTCCTGCTGTGGGGTGCAGAGCCGGGCAGCCAGGGCCTTCCTGCAGCCTGGTGGCAGCAGCAGATGCTGCTGCTGGACTTAAGACTGGTTCTCTAGACTGACTCGTACTGTGGACTCAGCCCTTGGCGTTGCTGGGGCTCGAGCAGCTTGTGGAAACCCCTAAATAGGGTTTCCTAGGGGAGGTGATTGAAGCAAAGAAGGATCCCAAAGGAGCTGGTCTGAGTGTGACCCAGTCTGACCCTGGGGAAGGGTCTGCAGGCATTTCTGCCAGCTAAACCACCTCTAGGAGAAGCCAAGCCCTTTGGCCCAGCGTGGGGAAGTGCTGCCTGCAGACCAGGCCATCCTCATGTCTGCTTTGGCCTCCCCAGCAGTATTTGGCAAGTCTTGCCTCTCTGCAGATCGGGGTGGATGCTGCTGGTCTTCACCAGTACAAGGGGGAGCTGGTCGTCTCCATGAAGTACATCCCATCTTCCAAGCACCCCGGGGCCGGGAACGGCAGGAAGGGTGAGTGCTGGAGCTCCAGGATCTCTGTGTGGCCTGCGGGACCTGCTGGTGGCCAGGCGAGCTGGGTCTGGGTGGGTTTCTTGGGTGGTGCCACTGCAGCCTTCTCCTCTGCAACGCCTGCAAGGCTGCTCTGGGTTGGGGCAGACCTGGCTGCCCTCAGGCTGGCCGAGCAGTCCCAGTGCTTTCCTGGGGCTGGACCAGGCTGGACCATCAGGCCCCACGTGGAGCAATTGTCTGTCTTCACCTCAGCAGGCAGGGCCAGTAAGGGAGGAGGCAAGAGGAGATACCAGCTGGGGTCTGTACCTGCCTCTGCGATGAAGGCTGTTC